CCTTGTGAGGGTCGTCACTTTTGTCTCAACAGTGCCAACAGTCACAGGGATTGGCCCCCCGAACCCGGGATCCTCGTGAGTGTTGTGACTTTTGAAGCTATGCAACTTCCTGGTGTGTCCAAAGTGGCGACACTCACCTGGATGGGCCACGGTTTCGGTCTGCGCCGTGCCCAGCTGCTGACCCTCAACCTTTCCCGGGGTATGAGGGGGAGAACACGGGCCAGCCTTGAACAGCGACTCCGTGTCTCCCATATGCCGATCCGCGCGAGTCTGAACAGCCTGTCAGTGTGCTGCAAGCGCAAGGTCCCTTAAGGCTTCGCCAGGGGAGCTGCTGCTAAGCACTTTCCATAGCATTTCGCCCGTCTCTTGCTCTTTTGGCAGAGCAGGTCTCCTTAGGAGGCCCTTGCGAGCTATGCCCAATCCTAGGTACTCCAATGTACGAATCTTCCTGTATTTGAACTTCATAGCATCCCATGTGCAGCGCTTGCACACTTGTTGTACCATGATCACGAAGGCGGACAGTAGATCACGCAGGTTGGCGGGCAAAAGTATGCCTTCACTGCTGGTCAGTTGGACGGTACTGGTAGTTCGTGTAGTCGCATCCTTGATCACCCTCGGTGGAAGGGACCCTGTAATGAGCACGAAATTGACCAATAGCTCCAAAAAAGTAATGCCGGTGTACTTTTGTTTTGGCGCAGCGTTTTCTGACCACCATAGCTGGCGGAACCAATCGGTACATGTGCTGTCGTCCGGCGACAACCTGTCCTGCGGGGAGACACACCATGCAGAGTCTGCAGTAGAGGGGCTGAGCTCAGTCCAGCGCCGTTGGAACTCGGCCCACTCGATGGGGCGTCGGCCTGAGGATGTCGGCCGGACCGTTACCTCTGTCCGAAGTGGCTTGACTTTGTTGGCGAGCTCAAGCTGGTACTGGCAAAACATGTACAGTCGATCAGCCTCCAGGCGGCGCCAATCAGCGACGTTGTCGGTTGTTTCAAGGACCAGCTGCAAATCCGCCAGGCGTGTTGCTTTCGCTGCTTCATCCGCAAAAGCATTGCCCAATGTTGGCAAAACCTCAGTTGGTGCCACTTCCATGGGCGAGGCATGGGCTTTGACCTTGAGGAGTTGCTGCTCTACCGGGAACAGGTTATCAGCCGTTGTATCCAGGAGGTCACGTGTGAAGTCGGGGGCAGCCGAAAGTCCATCCTGTTGTATAATGCGCGCCGCTTTCAAAGCAGTACTGGAATCAGTCCAGATTTGTGTCGGCAAGTCGTCGCGCTGGCTTGCCACCCTCGAAGCTTGACACAGGGCGATAAATTCTGCGCGTGATATAGTTTGCTCGCCCGGCGCCAGGCCCTGAGCAACCACATGGAAGAAGAGTGTGGACAGTGCGCGGCCACGCCAGCGGGCCAAAAGGAACTCTGTGTCCACCGGTTCTGGGCCCGTGTACAAGAGCACAGCCCAGGAAGCATGTCGTGCTGCAGGGCAGGACGGGTTAGAGCAGGAACCGTCCGTGAACATCCGCAACGTGGCACAAGCACCGCTCTGCAGGGAAGGACACAAGCCAGGGGCAGGTGGTAGTGATCGGGACTGCCATATGAGCCGCAACAGGGGCTCATCTTGGTGCTGGGCGGGGTACGGACAGTGGAGCCAATACCGCTGATGCTCACTGACCTGATCAAGCAGGCCTTGAAAAGGCTTGCGGACCGATGCGGTCACCGGGCAATCTAAAAGTCGATGCTCCTTGACATCCCGGCCTCCACAGAGTTGGCACGCCTCGTCTTGGAGGGGGTCCCAAGTCGCCTTTGCTGCACCAGACAGCAGGGCACCTACAGCAGTTTGCGCCAGGAACAGTCGGACTTTATCCGGGAACTGCAGCAAACATTTGTGCATGATGTCAGCCGCAGGCACGGGACAGTGCAACATACCATTCCGATGCTGCACCCGGGCAGGGAGTTCCTGTCCCCATGCTTCTCTTACAGCCGCACGGATCTTCCCTGCGGGGGAGACCCGGAGGTCAAAAGTTGTATGGCCCGGGCCTTTGCCAACACCTTGCGCCGAAAGGACCCAACCATTGCGGCGCAGGGCCATAGCAAGTGAAGTAGCGGGCCCAATGGCACGGCAGTGGTCTGCTTGTTTTGCTACCGTGGTCTGCAGCCAAACCTGGCCCACATCCGGGCGGGCTCGCAGCAGGCGGGCCAGAGAGCACAAAGCAGAAGAAAGCAGGTAGACCTCGGGGTCGACAACCGATGGCGTGAGGGCTGTCAAGGTGATGTACGGCGAAGCGCTGCAATGCAGCCCGATCAAAGCACGCGCAGCCGCGGACCTCAAACGTGCGACTGTGCCCAGAGGCAACAATCTTCCCTCGCTGCCGTAGAATGCGGTGGGCCACACACTGGTTTGAATCAACTTGGCCTTGTTGAACAATGGGCGACGCAAGGGCTGAAGTTGTTGCAACCGCCTGCAAGCCTCATTAATCCTGGAACTGGCTTGTGGATTGCCGGTGGCCGCCAAGAAGCGGTAGTGGACGCCCAGGTCTTTTGCATGGGAAAGAACTTTGAGTTGAACCCCCTCTGGCAGGGCAGCCTGCGCATCGGTTTGAAGCCAAACTCGTAGGCGCTTCGTGGTGGCCCATGCAAAGCTCTTAGCCCAGTCGATTGGTAACAACAGGCTACTGCAAAAGGAGATAGCGGTGGCCAAGGCGGTACAAATGGACTCGGCCAGCTGGGCAATCCAAGACAAATTGTCAACATACGTGTACAGGAGTACGTCCTGGGCATGGCAGACAAGCACCAGCACAAGGCAACCATCCCCACTACACTAAGCGGACAACCTTCAGGGAGGCCAGTGGTGCTGCCTATGGGCTGGCCCAGTTCTCCATTGAAGACAGTATGACGTGTCATGTCCTCAAGAAACAACATCCAAGTGTCCACCAGTGGGGCCGGCAATCCAAGATGCAACAACAGGTGCCGCATTGGTGCACGGGGGACTTGATTAAAGCACTTGATGATGTCGAGGCTGAAACCAGCCAGTGACGCTTTACTCAACAGCGCCTGCTCAACGTGATTTTCAATGCAAAGCGAGACGTCACGAGCACTGCGGCCGGGGATAGAGCCAGCGACCGAGTCGGGGAGCCATCGTGCCCAGTTTTTCAGCACCATCTTTGCACAAGTTGAAGCCCAGTAACGGTACAGGTTGCTGAAGACAGTGATGGGGCGACCATGGTGCATGCCTTGTGGTACATCAACCTTGGCCAAGACGCTCACTGTGGCACGCCCCATGTGGCGCGGAAAGCCCCAACGCATGCACAATTCGTACAATTGCACGAGGTGTCTGAAAGGAGAATCCGGTAGCCACTGGAGCTCAGCGTTTGAAAAACCGCAGTAGCCGGTGGCACTTCGTTTGCGGAGCTGTCGAAGGGAGGCCCTCCACACTGTCAAGTCACGAAAGTCGAGGTGGGCAACAATACCCGCCGGGGCCGCAGGTAGGTGGCTGCTGACCCTCAACCCTAAACCCTTTCATATCGTCATTTCTAAACACCTAAACCCTAAACGACCCACCGCCCACACCACAGGCGGGGGCGCGGGCGCAAACCCTAACCCTAAACCCAACACCCACCACCACACCACAGGGTTTGGGGAAGGGATTAAACACTAAACCTGANNCCCACAACCCACCACCGCACCACACCACGCGACACCACAAGGGGGAGAGGGGGGGGGGGGTTAAACAACTCAAAACCCACCACCACACCACAGGCGGACGGGGGGCGGGGGTTACAACCCACGTAAAGAACCCCACCATGCACGGGATTTGGGTCTGCTTGGAGTCCCGCCCCCCCCCCCGTTGTGTGGTGTGGTGTGGTTCGGGGTTTGGGTCCCCTGTGAAGTGCGCAGAGTTACAGGGTCGGCATATTTGGTTCTGGACATGCCAAGGGCGGGTGGGGGATACCATGGGGTCAGGCGGGGCCATGGGGGGAGGGTGTCGGCGAACCGAGAACGGGGATCACAATATATGCATGTATGCTTATACACATACACACAAATAAGTAAGCATACACATATGTGTATATATATATATACATATACATATACATACAGACACGTACAAACATATACACATGCATATCTACATACATACATACATACATACATACATACATACATACATACATACGTACGTACGTACGTACATACATACGTACATACATACGCACATACATACATACATACATACATACATACATACATACATATATACTTACACACATACATACATACATACATACATACCTACATACATACATTAAGTACATTAATTACACTTATTACATTAATTGCATTAGTTACATGAATTACATGAATTACATTAATTACATTATCTACATTACATCACATTACATTACATAACATACAATACATACATACATACATACATACATACATACATACATACATTACAATACAATACAATACAATACAATGCAAAGCAAAGCAATACAATACAATACAATAAAACACAATACAATACAATACAATACATACATACATACATACATACATACATACATACATAAATAAATACACACACATACATACATACATACATACATGCATATGTACATATGTACATATATACCTTTGTATATACATATATACGTATGCATACGTACATGTATGCATGTACAGATATGTACAGATATACATGTTTGCACATACATACATACATACATGCATGCATGCATGCATGCATGCATACATACGTACACACATACAGAAAGGCTTATATGTAAAGAAGATACGAAGATATACATACATACATACATACATACATACATACATATATTTATAATAGAGAGAGAGATATGCACACTACATTTCTTTGATGCGCATGTGTTTTTACATATACATGGTGTAGGGCTTCTCCCCCCCCTCCCTCCACTTACTTCATGGTAACCCCGGTGTGAGGGCAAGCTGGTCTTCTTGTTGGCCTGGTCCCTGCCCCCTCTCCGTGGTGTGGTGCCTGCGATTGGGTTCTTGGTCTCTCGGTTTCTCTCTCTCGCACCTCCTTGCATGCTGCGCATGTTGCAACCCACAAGTCCTGGCTGCTGAGCAACAAACTAGCACAATGGGCGAGCTGCTGTGTGACAGCGCCACACGATGAAGACGGCACGCAGTTCCCCGTCAATACATACATACTTACATACTTACATACATACGTACATACATACATACATAAATACATACATGCATACATACATGCATACCTACATACCTGCATGCAAACATACAGACATACCTACATACCAACATACCTACATACATACTTACCTACCTGCTCACCTACATTACATTACATTACATTACAGTACATTACACTACTGACTACATTACATTACATGACATCACATTTCAAAACAACACAATACATACATGCATGCATGCACAAGTGCATACGCGCTTATATAAGCTTACATGCATGTGCAAACATGCAGACATGCACGCACACATGCAGACATGCATGCCGACATGCATGCATGCATGCTTGCATACATACTACCGGTTGGGAAAGCAGCTACTTTCCGGACGCTCTGCCTGCTGCAGCTTTTTATGATCCGACGAGTCACCTGGCGTTTCTTCGGCTGTTCCCATAACTTCAGTGCTTTACCCACCTGAAAATCCAGAGGAACCTTTCGACTGCAAAACGCCCCCAATGCCTCCGAAGATTAACCCCTTTCGATTGGCCGGCTCCGGCTCTTGCGCTTGCGAAGCCGCCGGCGCATCGGTCCTCTTCGTCCTCTTCCAGTTCAAGTTCAGGCCTGGCTTCCTCGCTCGGCTGGCTGTCCACCAATGCTGCAGCCAGGTCGGCCTCCCAAGAAGGGAGGACAGACGGCTTTCGGGAATCACTGTGTCAGAATTGAGGCCTCCATGGCCTGGCTTCTGAATCTGGAGATCTCCTGAGCAACGGAGCCACGGGCTGCCACGGCTGCCGCTCTGCCTTCTGTTTAAAATTAAAGGCTTCGCCATCGCTCTCTGAGCTCCTGACGCAGCGAGCCTCTGCTCTTCTCAGCGCTTCACTCGCGGCCTTCACCGCGTAGTCCACCCCCCCAGCCCCAGCCCCGCCAGTCAGGCGAGACGGTGTGCCCACAACAGCCCGCAGCTCTCGGAGAAACTCCCCTGGAGACGCTGGATCGCGCAGTGAAGATGCTAGCGGCAACGCTTCGGGTCCCTCCAGCGCATGTGTTTGCAGCAGCAGCTTTTGTAGTTCCACATGTGGCCCAAGCTGGTCTGGGGAGGAAGATTCCAAGGGCCGCTTGTCGGGCTGTTCCAGCCGTGCTTGCGCTGGCAAGCGCTTTCTCTGAGGCTCCGTTTGCGAATGCACCGGCCGCAGATCACCGATTGAAGATGCCGGTGCCTGGTCGGGCCGTTCCAGCAGGCGCTGTGTTTGATGCTCGAGTTGAGACTCTACCGCTTTGTGTTCGCATCTGACCTCGGTTAGGTCATGTTGCGCCTGCCGAAGCTCCAGGCACTGGGCTTCTTCTCCTGCCTTCAGCTGCTGAAGCTCTTGCCGAAGCTGCTGAACCTCATGCACCTCGTTTTGATGAAAGCAAGTGAGCTCTCCTCTCTGCAGCTCCAGGGCGCGGTGTGCGACCGATTCCTCCAGATATTCCTCTCTGAGGTTCGATCCGTCGTGCTCTAGGCGCCGGCACATGATTCTCTGCATGTGCAGCTCGTCTGAAAGAGCGCTACATCGATCTGCCCACTGATCCCGCTCCTGCTCAAGCTGTAAAGGCTGCAGTTCTGAGGCTTCGAGAGCAGTTTGGAGTTCTGCAAGCTCGCTGCTTGCATAACGGAGTTGCTTTGACTCCTCGCTGTTTAAATACCGGAGTTGCTTTGACTCCTCTTGATATTCCTCTCGCTCTGCCTGTCTTTCGGAGAGGACCTCTGCTCTTACGGCTCCCAGCACGGCCAACTCTGCCTGAGCAGTTTCGGCCTCGACTTGCCGTGCCTCTGCAACTTCCGCCTCTGCTCTTGTAAGCTCACCGCGAAGTGAGCGGACTTCTGTTTTCAAGTCTTGGGCTGATAGCTCGGATCGCAACAGCTGATATTCCTGCCACTGTTCCAACACCTTCTCGATCTCATTCGAGCGGTCACGGCCGAACACCTCTGCCAGCATGCTGGCATCAAGCAAGTTCTCGGGCTGTCCATCCTTTGCAGATCTAATCGGCTGTGCCGGCGGTTTCCTTGCGGGCTTCTGCCCTCGCCGTGACGGGTAGGACACCGAGGGTGCTGTCACTGTTTGGATTGGGAAATCGGAACTCGAGCATCTCGAGCCCTCGCGATTGCGCAAGCCGAGGCTGTTTTTTCTCCTTCCAGGTGTTGCGTTTCTCGATCCCTGAACGTAGAAACCTTCCCGATGCTCGGTGGAAGTTCCAGAGCTTGCGCTCAGGGCTTCGCCCCAAGGGACATCTGAACGCACCTGCCTCGTGTCATGGCAACTCGTGGGCCGCGCACCCACTCCGAAGACAGGAGTTGCTGGCTGCGGATGTGGCTCTGGGATCGATGAAGGTCTGCAGACTTCACTGCCATTTGGATCGTGCCGAAGCCTTTCCAGATCTACCGGCATCCCGTTCTGGGAGAGTTGACTTGACGCCTGTTTCAACGGAAAGGCTCGGAAACTGAACAACACATCGAAGACACTGGCCTGGAGAGTGACCGGCTCCTTGCAGAAGATCCTTGCGAGATTCCCAAGCATCTGACGCTGCATGAATTCTATGGCTGCTATGCAGAACCCATGAAGGGCGCAGACTTGCCACATGCCCAGGTGCCCTGTCTCACCTCCCAGTGCGGAACTGCCCTCACAAGGAAGGAGTTGTGGCCCTCCTGCACCTCTGCATCGAGGAAGCGTAGAACAGGGCCGCCATCGCCCCAACCGTCCACTTCAACGCAAGCCTTCACCAGACGGTCCAAGGAGAAAGGATTTTCGGCCGAGGGTTTGGTTCGACATGCAGAGGCTGTCACATGGCATGCCTCTGGCCACAGCTGAGTCGTTGTGCTCTCACTGCTAGCAATGCCTTAGCGACCAGTGATGCTGTAGTCACGAGACGCACTGCCCGAACAGGCGAGGGCGTGGCTCCCTCCATCATCCATCACCGCCCTGGCAGGGTCCTGCTCAAAGCCTTCAGAGGCCGTTCGCAAGTCCAAGCTCTGCGGGCGTGCGCCACGGAACATGTCTGAGTCCCAGCCCTGCCCGACTTGCTCAACCCTACAAATGAACATTGCTGCATCGCTTATGCCCTAGATCCGAAACTCGTGTCCATACGGAACACAGTTGACGTCCTAGGCGATCTCAATACGGCAACATAGCTTTGCGCACTCACTACACATAAGCCGCAGGCCCATCACTGCCCCGCTTGGTGCGACCTGGCCTGCGGATTTGGACCAGAGATGAAGTTGACTCTTGCAGGCCCTTGTACCATCTTGCACCTGACCTAGACGGCTGTGAAGCTTCCGGCTGTCGGCGTGGGGCGGCCATCAGCAAGGATCGCATGTTGCATCTTGAACAGATAGCCCAGAGAGCCCATTGGCCTTCTGGCGCTTGTCAGCCACGAGTGCTGCATGTGTCCAATAACAACGTGAATGTAAATGGGGTAGCGCAACTTTTGTGTCCTGTAGTACATGATGGTACATGTACATCAGGAATGAAGCGAGCCAAGGTAGCCGGAGCTCCTCGCGGCGGAACATCGACACATTCATGCGGACCGAGAATGTCGAGAGGAGCAGGCGTCGGTTGCAGCACATATCACCTTCAACCTTTTGATCGCCACATGGACGCAGCTTTCACGGAGGTACTGCGTTCAGCCGCATCAGTCATACTCGACCTGAGCATTTTGGTCTCCTTTCGACACCAGCACGACGTGTCTACTGTCTACCAGTGGACCACAACGGATAGTTTAGACGTGTCCCACAGAAGCGAATGCAAGCTCTTGGGATGTGTCCGGGGCAGCCGAGGTTAGAGGGAAGGCATGGCCGCCAGTGGATGATTATTCAATTGACAGAGCAGCCGGTTCGCTTCCATCCAAGTTTCTGGCTTCCATGTGCCTCCTGTTCTTCTGGCCAAGATGGCGGAACCTGGAGGATATTGCGCAGATGCAAGCATGCCCTGACTCTGGACAAGGCTGCTTGTGTTGGGGATCCAGCTTTTGCCCAACGCTTCCTGATTCCGAGAACTTCACGATTTCAGTGCTCTTAGGCTGTCGGCATCCAACCTCCATGGCCGTTGTGGGCGCCATAGTTCGCCCAAGGTCGACCCTTGTTGGAGTAGTAATCCATAGGATAGACCTGAGCTGAACTCGGACAACTGCCACGTGCTCAGATTCAGCCAGCACGAGTTCGAAAGAGGAATCGCGCTGTGGCCGCGACGTCTTTGTAGGCAAGGCCCTTGCCAGAGGACATGCAGGGAAGGACAACGAAAAGGCTGTGGAAATCTTAGAGGCGCACAAACGAAAGGTTTGCCGTGCTTTGTCTACGGAGCTCTGCGCAGGATGAACCTGCGACTTGCGCTCATAGGCCTCCTCGTGCTCCAGAGTTCTTGCGATCTTCTCTACTCTAGTTCTGACCCAACGCGAGTCGCACGGGTCTAGAGTCTAGTACGCTTGGACGCTACGCCCTCTCAGGAAACGACCATGATATGATGCAAACTCCGCTTCAGATATATCGGTGCAAAGCCACACCGGAGTGTCTGCACCCCCTTCAGCACTGCTTCCAACAACAAACGAAGCAAGCCACAAGATGTTGCTCATGAGAGTTCCACGGCCGGTGGCCATGTGGGTTCTACAGAGACCAGGACAGACCGCACAAAGCAGGCCGGGTGGTGGGTCCTTTGCCAAGACCCGGTGAAGCTGGGTCATCAGGGCTTTGGATGTGCCATAAGCCGTGCCAGGAAAACCCCTCTCTCTGTGCTGGCCCTCTCTTGCTGCTTGGACGAACTCTTCGGCAATGCTGTCCAGCTCTTGCACTGTCAGGTCATCTGCCAAGAGTCTCTTCTTCAGCTCCGGCGACCAACTTGAACCAAGTTGTCCTGCAGATGACGACACCCCCACAGAACGAGAATTCGGACTGAGCAACGGGCGCAGCGTGGTCAGCATGCGCTTGGTTCCATAATAATTACTATCGACCGTCTGCCTTGCTTGATCTTGGAAGGGCGTCGGGTCGCTCATTGGGAATGCAAGCCCGGCATTGTTGACAAGAACATCGATTCTGCCCAGCTCTGATCGGACAAAATTACCCAAGGCTTCGACAGACGCAGCATCGCCTATATCGAGCTGATGGAAGACCAACTGGACTCGGTCCTTCAACTCATGCTTCAGCTTCTCTGTGGCCTCCCTTCCCATGTCAGGCACTCTTGCTGTAATGACTATCGTACTTCCTTCCGGAAGCTTCGTGGCAAGGCCACGAGCAATCTCGTAACCAATTCCAGGAATGCGGTTTGCGCCAGTAACCACTGCTACAGACATGGCTCAGGAGGCACGACTGCGTGGAGAAAAACTTAAGACAACTGGCTCCGCTGAGCGAGAAAGCCGCCGCAGCATGGTGTGTGCATCTCAGAGACCATGGTGCAGGGCACTCTCCAAGTGACGGACGCCGTAAGCTACATGAGCTTCGTAGGGCGTGAGCCTGGGCTGGATCTCAAGGCCCAAATTAGGAAGTAGACGTTTTCCAAGTGCGGCCGGGTGACAGTGGCTTGTTGTACGAACTCCCCCAGTCCATCGACAGCCGGGGGCAAGCGACTTGAACCCACGCCTCGACTTTGGGCCTCAGCTGGTAGTGACACGTTGTCACAGGTATAGGGGTTGAAGCGGCTCGTTGAAGCTGCTTCTACAGATTTACACGGCATATTGAGGGACATGGCTGTCGAAGCTGCGAAAGCCAAAGACGAAGAAGAACGCCCCACTGCCACTCATGGACGGTCGGGGGGAGGGCCTCTAGCTAGAAATTCTATGATTAGTGGTCTCTGATTCTGGGTCCGGCTGTTTCACGGTGCTGGTACAGTTCTCGAAGCACAAGTCAATGCCACAACAAGTCCGACATTCGACAGAACTGCTTGGCCCCTGCTTGGCCCAGAAAGTTTGAGGCAGGCTGGTTTGTGCTAAGTCTGGGTGGCACCGCGATCGAGGCAGGACGGTCCAGACATCGAACCGAACCGGGGTACAGGCATAAGAGAAAGCCTCTCGGGTGAAATCTCCGACAGCAGAATGGTGAAGTGCGCAATACCTGATCGTAATTGGTTGTGGAGCTTTTGTGCTTCCGCCAAGCTGTCACGAGTCACAAGTATTCCTCTCTGTGCCTCGCTGGTTGAGCAGTCGCTCAATCTCTTCCAGCACTCCAACGCTTCCCTGTCTTCCGAGGGTCCCTGCAGCAGGGGCGGGCGCAAAGAGATGAACACTCGAGTCCACAGACCTAAAGACATGCCGGACTCACCCAGGACCAGACCCACCTCAAAACGGATGAAGTGATGAAGAGCTTGCAGCGCAAGCTCGGCTAACCAAAAGCAACCACAGCACCACATTGCAGCAGGTCCGCCAACTGCGCATCCCTCGCAGCCGCAATAGCGGCACGTCGGCTCGAGTGCAACTCGTCATGCGCAAAGCCCTCCCGCCTGGCGGTTGCAGAACACAGAACAGCCAGCGGCTCTGCTGATTATGTCTCGGCCCAGCGGACGTCAGCGTCAGGCAGGCAGGATCATATCGAAAGAAGTTTCCGCGCAAGTGCCTGGCACCCACTGAACTGCTGAGGCGGAAAATGGCTTGGTGGAGAGTCTGGGGATTTCGTTGGGACGCCTGTGCCTCTGCCTTCGCTTCCACAGGCGTCTGTCCGATCCTAGACAATCCTGGGCTCCTATCCCTAGCACGACACGTGGTAGAGCCACTTGCCGCTTGGGGATAGGTCTTCCACAGAAGCCTGATCAACTCGCCGGTAGGACGGATTTTGAATCATCGCGCTCTCAAGATGGAATCTTCCATCGCAAACAAAAATCGCCTCTCATTCAAACTGTAAGATGTCGCTTGGAATGTGGGGCCTAGGGAGCCCACTTAGACTCCAAGGGCAAGTAGGGGTCAGGCTGCATCAACGTCGCCAGCATTGGGCGACGTGCAGCCGAGAGTTTCTCCAACACCCAGTGGCTTCACCTTGAGACGAGTCTGATTTCACTGAAGCAACCCTAGGATTGAAGGCCAGCCATGGCCGCACCGGAGAGCGAGAGCGGCTTCCGAGCTGGCGGCCTGTGGGGCCTTCGCAATCCCGTCATCTGCCTGCTGCTACAGCACAAAGACACGTTCTACACCGGGCACCGCCGGCACCGGAACTGGCTCGGCCTCTTTTCGGAGCTCATCCACTGCCTGTCCGAAGCAACTGTACCGTGACCGTGAAGTGTACGAAATGCAGGCAGCGGTCATGAGCTCAAATGCCTGCAGCATGCCCGATGAGAATTGCACGCTGCTCATGAAGGCCAGACCTCAGGGGCCAAAGAGTTGCCTCCGGTGGCACATGCTATCCCATGCTTGTGCGACTCACGACACTGCTGGCTGCGGGTCCCAAACGCTTGTCGGGTGCGAAGTTATGCCGGATGGTCTCCACCAAATGCTCCACGTCCACCTCGACCTCCAAGCGTGAAGTCTTAATCTTACACAAAGCTTACGGGTCCCGTGTCAAACCGCCGAAACTGCCCATGGGCTCGAGCACCAAAGCAGTTCTCTAAGAATGTTCCGGCGGAAGGTGCACGAGCTGGCGCCGTCTGCCGCTTCTCCGATCCGGGTCACCGTGCTCCGTGCTCTGCTCACTTACGCCCGCGCACGCGCGCCTCATGCATGTCTCCACCCTTTCAGTCTTGTTGATTCCCCTTCTTCGCCAAGTTTCATCACTGCAAGGTTTTCGTGGTCTCAGGGAGAAACTATCATTGACTAGGAAGACTGGGCACAATGGGCGAATGTCTCGTTTCACTCTGCGCAGGATTCAGAGTTTGCTGCTTCGCCTGTTCATTTGCTCCTTCTTCGTACGGTGTGCTCACAGGTCGTGCTTGGCGGGCTGATACATTGCTTCACAGAGACCCCGCATGAGTCCCATTCAATTCCTTTCGTGCAAGCGAGCCTCTACGTGGACGTAGAGAGTTGTGACGGTCGTTTGGTCGGTGGGCACCTGGGCTCAAGCGCACACTGGTCATGCACCTGTCCACCCACCACACGCACCGACAAACACACAACCGACAGATAAGTGCCACCATTCAAGCGCAACGGGACATGACCCTTGGTGAGCTCTTTCAGCTCGCCATGGCTGCGGCTGCAGCTACTACATGCTGGGGTCCTTGCAATACAAGAATGACCTCAGGATGCAGGACTAGACACCAGAGTCGTTTGCAGGATCCACTAGGGCACCTAGCAAGCAATAAAATGCAGCTCGGCAGCCGTAGTGGATAAGAAAATCGACTCCCAGTGCCGATGCCTTTGCATCTCATGGAGCTCTCCACGTTGTGCTACACACAAAAGCATTCCGCAGCATTCACATTCAACCAACGAGTTTGTTTGCCGGAGGTGCCAAAACTAACACAGACATATTTTAATGTGGGCAAAACATCTGCAGAATGCTGAGGAGCCAAGAACACCCCGAAACCCACATCTTATGGCTCTAGACGTGATAACTGAGGTGGGCACACCGAGGTCGTCAATACAACAGGCACCGAAAGTTACATCGCCGAAGATGGTGCTGCTTTCTACCTTAGATCCGCTTGCGGTGTGAATGTATGCAGTTGGTGCTCGCAGCGAGCAGGGGTTAAGCTGGGGTCTCACACCGTCGGGACGAAGCGTGAGAAGATGTCAGCTAATGCTGTCGCCTTGCTGCTTAATCATGCACAGGGCAGAAACAAAAAACAACACAAAGAGCCCGACCCAGCCCTGCAAGCCCTCCGGCAGCTGCAGCCCTCCAACATGAAGGAAGCAATACAAACAATCTCAACCCTCACAATGCAACCGGTTGCATTCGCACCTACGTGCCGCGCACCGGCACGCTGCAGTTTCCAGACAGAACGGTGAACCTCGCGCAGCTCAGTTGCAGCACGCCCCCCCCCCCCTTGCCGTGGCTTCAGTGGGGAAAAACTTCCTCGGATCCTAGCTGAAGTCTCGCAGATGCAAGGCATGTAAATTGTAGATGCTTCCTCTGAACGACGCCAGGCTGGAACGTATACTTTGCAGCCTAGGGCCTAGGGCTGAAGAGATTTCGCCTGGATGCACATCATGCTCGTGCGCACACACACACACATACATCAGTTTTTTTTTACGACTTTGCTGTATGAACGCTGAGTTTGAACCCTTGGCTTGTGCGATTGTGACTGTCGTGGCCTCGAAGTCGTGGGTCCGCGGAAGACTCGCCGCAATGCAGAGATTCAGCTCGTCGTTGTTGAGAATGTCTGCAGGTATGCGGCGGTTGGCCTCACAGCGGAAGCTACGAAGAAAGGGTAGTCTAGATGGGAGATCACCTCTGGATGCAAGTCGGCACAAAAGCTGAAAGTCTTGAAAACACAAGTACTTCGACTTTGCTATGTGCTGCACGGGGATTCTGAGCCAGCAGCGCTCGTTCTCGATCTGAACGGGGCGGTGATCGGCCCAGGTGCTGGCTCCACCGCTTGCGGTCTTAGGGACCTTGCTGTGGGACGCGGTGGTTGAGGAAGTCAGCAACGAGCAGAATTGGGTCTCTCGCGGCTCTGGAGCTGGCAGATCAGGGACAGCTCTCCGGGTTTCGGGTTCCGGCGAATGCGCTGCCTGCCTTGTTGACGTCACCGTCTTAACCTCCGAGCTTATCACAGGTTTTTCGAGGATAGGCATGCTTATCACGGGTTTGCTCAAGGATAATCATGCTTACCATGGGCTTTTTCAGGGATAATGATGCTTTTCACGGGCGTTGCAAGCATAATAACGCTTATCACCAGCTTGTTCAAGGATAATCATGCTTACCACGGGCTGTTTTAAGGATTATCATGCAAATTACTGGTTTTTGAAGGATAATCATGCTTGTCGACTTTTTCGAGGATAATCATTCTTGTGACGGGTTGTTCAAGGATAGTCATGCTTATCACGGGTTTTTTTCGAGCATTATCATGCTTTTCATTGGTTTTTGCCCATGTTAGCACGACGTTTATTTTGACTGGATGCCCTACCGCGCCTGCATGCTCTGTTGGCGACTTCGCTTGTCTTGCTATTTTTTTTCGGCAACAGCCTCAGGCAGTCGCGACCTATGCCATCGTTTTTGGCACGTGCCCATACTCGACCTATACCCATCCAACCTCTGGTTGCAGACTTGATACCTGCTCCTGACAATTCCTTGGGAATGTCACTGCCTCTCACATCCAAATGTTCCGCAGCTGCGCGTTTGCGCACTTTCACATTTGTTGCGTCCACACGATCGGTACATTCGCAGCAATCCGACAACAAAGTATTGAAACGCTGAAGGCCTTCCGTGATCTGATACCGCTTCTCTTCGTTCGGAGAGTCGATGTGTGTTGACAGGGATACCACGTTCTCTGACCCTTCCGGATATAGCGTTCAACCTCTTGTCGAGCCAACACTTGATGCACCATGACTTGTCACAGTCATTGAAAGGCTTCGTTGAAAGGCTTCGGCTTCTTCCTTCCATATCGTGAATCGTAAAACACCTGGTGCAACACCGTTCCGTCAACACTTCGTCTACTAGCTGACACAACCTGCGTTCGGCAACATTGCCCAGGTTGTATTCTGAGACACTCTCTATCAACAAAAAGGCACGGGTGCCTGGCTCTCAATGGCGCTGCCTGCCAGAAGATCCCAAACTTCATCATCTTCGTCACCTGTAGCACATGTGACGACCCGGGCAAGCTGTGTGCTTGGCAGCCCAAAACTTTAAAGACATGTCATGTATTTCTCAGGCAGCCTAAAGGAGCCATGCTGCTTCACTGCCATCTGCTTAGTGTCGTAGGTGTGTTGTCTGACTGGAAAACCTGGAGTGATTCTGAGCTTTGGAATCTCGGGCATGAGCACCTGCATCCTGCCCAAGTCTGTCCAAATTGCTACTGTAACTCAGACTCAGAGCTGAGACTTGTCTGCAGCTTCACGCGCAAGCGGGCACGGCGACAAGTTCACCCGCGGCTGTGAAGGGCCGTATGCATCTTGCACCATGCCAACAATCACTGTGGACTTTCAAACTCGACTGGCACCCTGAAGAAGGACTTTGTCAAGTCGATACTCGCCGCTGAAAGACATGCAATGGGCAGTACTTCTGGACAGCCAGAGTACGCCGGCTTTCTTCTGCTCAAGCACTTAGTGCAAAGCAGATGAAAGAAGTCGGTGGGTATCTTCTTATCCTCAGGTCTTTCAGACGCGAGGAGTCAGCACAGGAAGATGCCATCTTGAGCCTGATAATCTGCGCGAAAGCTCCCTTTCAAAACGAACACTTGCGGCGAAGCTGGACTTCGACTTTGTAATCGTGTGCCGAGTCGGCGACGGCGCTGGTGACGATCAATGAAAGTAGGCCCCGTCTTCATCACCTTGTCCAAGATGGTCCGAGCGTCACGGTGGTGCGGCATTCAACATACAGGGTGCACTAGTGATGCAGAATGGTGCGCTACTCAGGATGTCACTCCAGTGCACCCGAATGTGCATGTGAGATCCGAAGCGGGAGGGCTGCTCAACCTTCGGGACGGAAGCATCGCACAGTCTCCAGCATCAAACTGCGTAGGAGAACTCAGGGCCCACACCCACTGAGTGGGCGCTTGTGCTTTGCACCTGCGCGAGGCTCAACCAGGAGAGCACAGAGCCAAGCAGAGACAGAGGGCGTCGGTTGGAAGTTGGCGCGCGCACCACTCGATCTTCTGGAAGCCCAGGCTCTTTCTGTCCTCTGCCATGAGACTTGCCTGGCATTGTGCCCACAACTCGCCAAGAGGTTTTCTGCTGCCACGTTCTGTGACAACAGACCGGAGCGTACACTTCGAGCTTCGGACACTCAAGCTTAAAACTTGATGAGCCCTTGGCCGCAGTTTGACTGTTTGGTTCCGACTGTTCAATTTCTCCACGTTGACACACGCGTTCAGTGGCCAATTCCACAAGTTCTTCATTTGGCCTAGTTCTTCACGACCTACTCGAGCTGGCTTTGAAAGTGGAAAAGAACGTTCCCCTGATGTTAAACCCGAAAACGTCCTACAATTGTTGGGATCTTTGTTCACTTCCGGCAAACTCTGTGGCAAAGTGCTCTCCTTTGCCATGCCCTGTGACAATGTGAAGGAAAAGACAAAGGCTTTCGCCATTTAAAGGCCGCACTCCTGGCCTGGCCGGGAGACTGTCTGCGGAACACGACATTGATGAGACGACTACCAACCCAAACTCAACAGAAAGCCGAAAGCCTCTGGTTTGGACGAAAACAGCTCCTCTGCTCATGGCTTCTGCACACTGCACGAGACGCCAACATATGCCAACACTAGTTCCGGCCATGCCAAGTGCACTTTCGTCCCCTGCACTTCGATCGTCATTCCCACACGAAATCTAGTCACGTGACCCGCAGGCGATTCACCCAAAGACTGCCTGAAAACAGGAATACGAACCCAAGTCAACAATTTCAGCACTTCGTATGGGTACTCGACAGGCAAGGACCCCGTTCCAAACACAGGTTTCATTGAATCATCTCGAACATTCGTGTGCAGTTCTGCGGCCGCTCTCCGGCCAGAGACTAGTAAGGCAGTGGCCAGCATGGCCAGAACGTCATCCATGTCCTCATCGCTTCCGGCCAATACTCCCGGCACGACGGTGCCCCAAGTCCTGGCATCTGAGCTTGCCCGGGATGCGTCCAAGCGCAAAGTCTGGAGTAAGCTTTGGGCAGCTGCCGGCGCCCAAGCTCGTGCGCAGTTCCACAGGCTGCCTTGAGGTCTGCGAGGAGGCCCACAGCCAAGCCCTGGCATTTTTGAGCATCTCTCTGTTTCGCAGACTGTGGAGTGCCTGCAGAGTCTCTGCCCGCTGGGCGGCTTTTCGTTCTGCTAGGGTCACTACCTGGCCACGCCAGCCTTCTGACTCTTCGGTGTTTGATTTCTGCCTGGGCTCTCGGCCATGTTGGTAACGACGAGGCCTGGCCGAGGCCCGTATCCAAAAACGGCAAGAATCCTGGCCAGAACGGCGCGCCTTTGCAGCACAGCCCAGGTCCAGAACACACTGTATCTTCGCGACAGTTGTATTGCAATGCTGCATGGAACTAGCTGAGGAAGTCTCTGGAGGCTGTTGCTGCAGTTCGAGGTGAATGTGACGTGATAGATCAGAGCTATGTGAGAAATTGTCGGACGGCAAACAAGCTGCAGCGGGCGTCGCGGTCCCATGCTGGACCCCGCTTCCACACAGACCGCTCTGCTAAGCCACTCTGCTGCATCATGTCTCATCTCCAAAGCAGCATGAAACTTGCCAGATCTTGGAAAGTCCTGTTGCACACCCAGCCGACTACCCCAATTTATGGCCCGAGCTTCACGATGAAGAATAGAAGGGCCGACAGCGGTTTACAGCAAAGGAGCCACGCACAAATGAAACAGCAGCGCAACCACTACGTCCAGATGCATGGGCTATACAGCACATTTTGTACCTGCTGGCACGCAGTTTGTTTAGCCTAGGGATAGGAGCGGGCACGTCTCGGCTTTCAGTGTGATCCAAGCTGCTGCTTTCGAAGCCACAGCGGTACCAGCAGTCTTACATACCTTCGACCGAGTTTCAATGTCAGAGATATTTGAGAGCCATGCCCGAGCTGGAGCTCGACTGAGCGATTCGAGCACTGGTTTCTTGCAAAGTCTTTCCCCTTTTCCCACGGGGTCGCTGACTGACATGTGCCATCCTACTGCCAAACCAGAGCCCTTTCGGTGACACCATCACGTGCTCGCAAAGCCAGCACCTACAATTTCCGATGCTCTGCGAGCACAGACTGACAGACTGACAAAGATCGAATCGGATACTCCTCTAGTGCAGCCAGTGAGTCCGAGAAAAATTCGCCGGCGACAGAGCTGGAGCAACAGCGAAGCTGGGAATGGATTCAGTCACAATGCTTACATTATCTTACATTCATCACTTCTGCTCACCTCTCAGAACTACATGAAGCGCTACATGCTTTCCAGGAGGGAGTTCAAAGCCTTTGGCTTGCGCACACACGCGGAAATACAGACATGCAGAACTGCCAGCGCATGTCGAATCTGGACCTCGGTAAGTCTTTGCACGGCGCCAAACTAAGGTGAGAGCAGTGGTCTCGTCATAGCCATGCTTCTCAAGAGCCGACCTTGTTGAAGCCAGGGCTGGATCTGTCATGCACTTGTGCCCTCTGAGGTCTCCGCTTGGCCTGCTCCTGTGTAAATCCCATGTCGACGATCTTCTGCACCTTCAGGTCTTGAGCACCGCACAAGGTTCGTGCGCGAGGAAACTGAGGAAACTTACTTTCAAGCGGCCTTCTCATCATTGGAAGATTTCTGCTCGCAGGCGAAAGTCTCCGTCCAGTATTTGGCAGTCTGTCCAAACGGCAGCAGCTGCGATCGATGCAGGGAGCAGGCTGCAAGACTTCCCGCCTGAACAAAAAGTTCTCGATTGTGCTTGTACATCTCCGCAACCTCTGGCTGACGCACCCGCTAAGTAGTCTTGAATTATGTACGTGCTGAGTAACCAGGCCTCTGCGTCTTGAGGGTCATCTGGTTCCGGAGAAGACAGTAGTGCCTAGAAGTTCTCGCGGATGCTCATGACGCTGACGTTCCATCACAAGTGACAGCGAGGAGTACTGGATGTGGTCACAGCAAGCGCGCAACCGTCAAAGCACGTGCAATGAAGATAGTGCACACACAACGGAGAAAAGGCCATGCTAAGATGCACGAAGGAACCGCAAAAGACCACTCGCAAAAACAGTGCCTGAATTGATAACAGCGCTGTTCGAATTGTCAGTGCAGGGCTCCACTCCTGCGGCAGATGTAGATAAGATTGAGTAAAGCTGCGGGTTGCTCTTCCCAGCTGCTACAATTACACTGCTCGTTTTGCTGAAGTCTGCCCCGACCTTGCCGAGCACGTCGAGGCAAATGGCACCAGTCTGCGCAAGTTGAGCTCGGAGCTTTACTGCGGTGATCTGCGACGAGTCTACGACGAGTCGAGTAGCACAGGCCTAGAGAGGCCGGCAAGTCGTGTGCAATGCGAGGGCTGATGCCACCCTTTCTTGCCGCAGCTAAAGCCGCCACTTTGTGGCAAGCCTCTACCAGAAACCCGCAAACAATATGAATCTCCGCTTGCGGCGGGATCGGCAGCACTTTGGCCGTTTGTCCCGGCAATACTGCCAGTACCCAGAGGTCCCGTCTGCGAAGATAAGGCTCGCATCTTGAGCCAAGGGCAGAAGCTTGGGAGCTTGCCCGCCGCACTCAGGTCACCACCGTGTGACCATTGAAGAGGAGCCGTGGTGAAGGCACCGCCTAAAAAGCAGAGCTTGGAAAGGAGCAAATTGAACCCTGTCTCCCTTTCTTGGCTCGGCTTTGGACCTCGCTATCCTCCAAAAGGCCCAGGGCGTGGTTGACGAAGGTCACGCCACCGTGGACCTGATCGCAGAGATCCGCAGAGCAGTTCAATCCCAGCCCGGGTCTGAACCTGACACGTTCGGATGGAGGCATGGCCATAAGCCTCAGTGCGCTGGCATACTGCACTTACACTCAGCAGCCATGCACATTGCTGGCTAAAGCGACGTGACCAGCACTTCGCACTCGACGTAGCTGGTCCTGTAAACCCCAAGAGTAGTGAGGTTGCTGGCATCGGCGGAAGCAAACCAAGCGGCAGCCTCAATCTCTTCACACCCCATGGCTTGTGCCTGCTTGCCTGGTGGCATTCCGTGGTCGTGGCAAACTTTAGTCTGCACTGCTATTGGTAGAGCTACGTCAGGGTCTGAGACTCGGCGGTAATTCATCGCTGACATCAGCGTCACCACATGCAGTGATGCCTAGCCCGTCGAAGGGCAGTGTTGTCAGGGGTACGAAGTGGGAGCAGGTCAGGACCTCAGCTTGCATGGGCTCACATCCCAGCAGTTGAAATCTCTGGGCACTTGGCGGTGCCCTGCAGAGGTTTTAAAAATACCTGGCGCAGTCTCTGCGGTGCGAGGTCTGAGAAAGGAAGCAGGCAGTCAAGAACCTCGTTCAACTTCAGCATCCATCTGCCAGCATGCAAAGTCATGCAGAGGAGTAGTGGACACAGGCTTACGTTGATTTGGAAACTGAGCTGAAGGCTTCCACAGCTGGTTGGGATCGAGCGGCCAAACCTAGGCCGGCGAGATTTGGACAACGGCCACGGCCCCCATGTTCCTCGAGGTGCGAACACATTGGGCATCGAAGCCGTGATTAGGATCGGGACCTTAACGCTGTTGCATGGCGTGGGCCCACCTGAACAAGCCTTGCTATCTGAGCTTTCTGCGACTTTTCTTGTCGAACTCAGCATTGTACCATGAGTGCAGCGGGACCACATACACATCCTGCTGCGAAATTCGACTGGATTCGGTATCGGAGGCAGATCGGCAGGCCGATGCAGACCCTCTCCTGGGAAATGGCCGCTGGAAACATGTCCACCTCCAAAGCCAACGCTGCAATGAGTGCTTTCAGCTCACGGTGCAGTGAAAGCGGAAAGGCATGAGATCTGAGTTCAGGACCCCGATTTGGTCACAGGCCGCCAGTAGTCCCAGAAGCTTTGCAATGGAATCAGGGAATCGAGCCGTTCGCACCTGGTGCTGGAATGTCTCTCAACTAGCTGACTAGCTGCTTTCGAGCTGTCCCAAAGTCTTCGGCCTCGCTGGCATTGAGTGCAAGATCCCGGTTTCCCGGTACATAGAAGAGTCGATGGAACTTGGACCTGAGCACCTGAAAGCGGGCCAGAGGGCAGTTTCCTGCAGAGCGCCTTTCTCGGCCGTTTTCGGCCGGCCTTGAGTCCCCGAATAATGCTCTGGAGCGTGTCGGCCTCGGGCCGTTCTGGCTGGGCAAACTCCCGGCGAAGCTCTGGGCTCTCCAGCGACGTTGCCAGCCACGATCAGAACATCATCCTTCAGCCAAGTAGTCTAAAGTCGAACAGGGGGTGAGGTGTGGCAGGCCTGAAACTTCGCGTCGTCCAAAGCATTGCACCACCTGGTATTACCGACTCTGGTTTTTTGGAAGCAGGCGATGTTCGGATCCCGACTCCGCATTGCTCTTCGCATCGAAGTACAAGTCCGAGACCACCCAGACCTGCTGAAAGGGCCAGGCGCTGGGAATCAAGGCGAAGCACTCGAAGCTCCTTCGTCGAGTCTCTCGGACGAACGCGGTCTTTCTCAAGGCGACGGGAATGCGCCGCCTAGGTCGAGGCTCTTGCCGAGTCCAAACATGAGAGGACGATTGGTGGGGGACTATGACTATGGGGCTCGTCCGGGACCGACATCAGTCTGTGGCCTGATCACCTGATGACAAACGCGAACAACCGAGCGCCAAACCCTCCGGTGCCTCCATCTAGGGATCGCCGTCAGGCAAGCCTGGCAAGATCTGAGATGGCTTCAGCACCAGGACATGGCAATGCAAGTGCCGCGTGACCCGTGCCTCCAAACCCTGTCGAGCCACAGCACTGTGACTGTCGAAGGCCTGAGCAAGGAAAACACCACGGGCCCAGACTAGGAAGTGGAATGCTCAATGGGCTGAGTTTGCGGGCCAACGCCCATGCAAACTGGACATACGCCTCCTGCACGGACCCCAGTGCACAAGGCCTGTCTTTCATCAATCGCGTCCTCCGGCCGGCCAGCTCCCAGAAGGGAAACACCAAGGCGGCATCTGGCCTGCAGCCGCTACAGTATGTTGAAGTTTTGCAACAGCTAGGCGCGTCTCATGTCCAAAACAGCAGTGCTTCGAGCTGGTTGACGGTGTGGCCACACCGCAAAATGAATTTGGATGCGTCATCATATGTCATCATAACACAACGTTCTCCCGCCCGTTGGTCTGGGACTGCCTAAAACTTCGTGTTTGCAGGGCTTGGACTTGGACGGTCTGCTCGGGTTTTGGCGGGCAAAAGGCACGAGTCCGGTGTCCGTGACCGGCAAAACCAACATTCTCCACTAAAATGCTAACTCCGAATAATCTCGAAGCCACGCACGTCGACACAGGCCTTTTGGGATGTCGGGGTTATGGGACCGTGTAGGGTGTTATATGATGTTATATGGTTTTGGATTTCGGGCTTTTGGTCTAGGGTTTAGGCTCTTAGATTTTATAGGTTTCTTGGTTCTGGACTTCATGGATTTGGTGTGCTTTTCTTGAACGGCTTGTCTTTCACCGCTCTTTCCGGCAGCAGTAAGCATTCAGAAGCTTACATGACATCAGCGCTTTCAGGATTTGGACGTAAGGCTCAAGGGCTTTAGTATCATGGCTCTGAGCTTTTGAGAGTTTGGACACTACGGCTTCAGTTTTTGATGGCTTTGGGGTGCAGATCATTAGGGATTGAAGGTGTCTGGGGGTCTGGGGTTCAAGTTTAGGGGTGCAGAGCTTTGGGATTTAGGGCTTTTTGCAGCATTCTCATCCCGCCTCTTCGTCTTTCCTTACGTCCTGCGTTCCTTGCCTTGCGGGTTTGTTTCGATTTCCACAATCCCAAGGGCCCCAAGGGCTGGAAAAACGACCTCTCAGAAATCACAAACCCAACTATGATTCCTCTGTAGCTCGCATTCTGGACAATCGGTCTACCAACGAATTTTTCTGCGTGGTTCGGGGGTCCCTGCTGGGGGGAAGTCAGGAAAGCCGTGGACGACGGCTTGTGGTGAACATGCTCGAGTCAGCTTTCAAGCGCGCTTCGCTCATCCCTTCGGCCTGATCTGGGGCTGAAAAAACCAGAGGTCAAGCGACGAAACCTTGAAATCCGTTTAACTTCCCCGTCCTTGGGCCACTCGCGCTGCAACTGGGCGGCCATCTGTGCATCTTGCACGGCCTAGCGTGCCACGTCGACACAGCGCTGGCAGCATCAACGCTTCACTTGCAGCTGAGAAGAAGGTTCGGGCAGCATCCCAGGATTTCAGGTAACAAAGCCTCAGCCATTTGCCCCAGGATTACGAATTCCAAGAAATCAGGTCAAGGTGGTTCTGTCGAAAAGTTTTCGCCGCTTAGACGGCGGCGCCGCGGCTCTGTTGGCATACAGCGCCTGAGAAAAGCACCGCGAGCTTGCTTGCCACCGAGGCGAACAACCCCTTGTGAAGCATTGCAGAACAATCGATTTAGGGCACGCCGCGGCTCGCCGACAGCAACCCAATCGCCATGCATCGCCAATCACCCAGCGAAAGAACCGCATCACAGACATAGAATGCAGTGCACAGACAGGTAGGTGGGAGGCAGTCCAGCTGAGGCAAGGCACAGCCAAGTTGAAAATGTCCTCAGAGGATGTGGCCTGCCATCTCGACAGTTGCTGAACGAACAGTGCCCCAATTGCCCCTTCAAGTGGGGGCCTGCTGGACTTTCTTTGTCGCTTCCCGGAAGTTTTCTTCAGCATTGATACGGCTTTCTGCATCCACCAGCTCCTTCATGTCGGTACACGGGAAAGATATGTAAGGACAAGAAGAAACAAGGTTGCCGTGTAGCACGGGACTTGCATTGCAAGCTGTGTTCCTCTTCCTTTCTTGCAAAAGCCTGCAGCACTGCAAGTCGCACTGCAAGTCGCCGCGAAATTGCAACTTTTGATATGTCTGTCCTGCCTCCATCTCTGCAACGGGCAGCTTGGCCTCAGGGTCGTCCGTCTGTGAGAGATCGCCACAAGGAAACCCACTCGTCGTTGCTGGCAAACCCCATCGTCTTGCATCTCATGCTGCAGAGCTCTGTTTTGAGAATGCTGTAGCTGGACAAAGTTCAACAACGAAACTGCTTGCTCCGAGTCACAGGATGTGTGGCCAGTGCTACTGTGTAGCAAGCGACCGCCTGACCTTCACAACAGTTCGCTCCCTGCTATAGAAATCGCCTTTGAAGGCTGGGTTCGTAACCGAAGCTTGAGGAAGCCCAGGATGCGTTGCCCTGCGCATACTCCTGGCCGAGCACTTTGATTGGTCATAGTGACGGTTTGCTTGAAGGCATGATGTGGAAGTCCTCAGCTTGTCTGCCTGAATGGCTCCGGCACGAAGCATGAAGATGGTTGCAGAGAAGGTACGTGCCTGCCTGAGAAGAGTTCCAGCGCGACCTGTCAGCGTCCCCCCCCCCAAGTGAAATTCACTGGGAAGAAGCATGAAAGTAGGAAAGTAAGCATGCGACTTGGGCCAACCCCTGCAAGTTATCCCGAGAAGGGTCCAGCCTGCAAAGCCATCAATCAACGCATTGGCAAGAGCTGTGGTCGAGTCATCAGTTTCAAGGATCCGGCTCGACTGCTTGACGGTAGGCTTGAAACGCCTCTTCCAAGTAGTCCTCCAGCCCGGGTACTCGTTGCATCTCTTCGACTCTTTGCACGAATTTGCATCCGCACCTGCTTGCTGCACTGACCCAGTGCATAAACATTGGGAGCTCCAATTTCTTCAGCGGATTTCGACGGAACGAAAGGTCGAGAGCAACAGAATATCCTTTCCGAGGTTTTGGGCCGCAAAGCCAACTCTTGCCCAAGTCCTGGAAGGCCGTTGAAATGCAGATGCTGCCAAGAACAAGCAAGGCATGAGCTTCGACCTCGCCCAATCTGGTCGAAGCTCCTACGAGCGGACAGTGGACTCGCAAATTGGACCGGTGGGCCGACGGTGCATGTGAGAGATGCTCACGTATACGCACGTCGCCTTGGCAGCTCGGGCGTCTTCCAGAGATCCCAGAAAATCGCCGACCTAAGGCTCTTGGCTTCTCGGCTCTCCTGATCTCTCCTGCCTCCCGCCTTGGCAAAGCACGCAGCTCGGTTGGACAGAGCCACGGCCTGGGGTTTTTTTCAGCCAAGAGAAGGCAGCACGGTTCGCGGGGCGTCCTGTTCGGGATCGGAGCCCACGTCCACCATCCACCTGAAGATCTAATGCCAAGCACAGAGCGCTTTGAAAACTGTGTGAAAAAAAAACTAGGTTCGTGACCGCGTGTAGTAGTGAGCAGCCAGCCAGAAGTCACTGCGCCTGGCGCTGTTTTAGAGGACATCGGAGACGGAGATGTTCATTCTATGAGGGCCTGAAAGAGGCAGCTCCCAGTCTCCTCCACGGTGCACTCCCGGTTGCCTCGCTGGCCTCAACACAGACCGCAAAGCCGCAAAGCGACCGCTTGCACTCCGGCTCGCAGAGCAGAGCAGAGCATAGGAGCAGAGCGCTTGCAGAGAAAATCAGCTTCCCACGGCAGACGTCGCAGCGGCCGCGAAGTCCGCGATGCAGAGCGGCTTCTGTGATCTGGCCTTCGCCATTCTCAGAAGACTCCAAGCTGCCAAGAGACGCTGGAAACGGGACTTGGATGCTTGCTGCGGGCATCAGCTGGAAGATGCTTGCCCTCGGAGGGGGAGGTCACCGGCAGGACAACCAGAGAGATGTAAGAGATTGCAAAAGGGACCAGAACCGGCTTTGCCAAGGAGCTCCAGGAGCGGCAACAAGGTCTCCTCCAGCTGCTTCCAGTCTGCTTCGGCCTGCAACTTCACGGCTTTCAGAAGCCTTCAGAAAAGATGCGCAGCAGCGTGTTGCACAGAAGCCCACCTCGGGCGTAGCACAAGCTGCAGATGCGAGACCTTGCCACTACAACACGGAAACGTCTGTCGTCGGATCGACTTGGTTCGACAGCGAGGTTGGAGGGTCTCCCCACCATCTGGGGTCTTGACACACCGCAAATACCGGCACAGCACTCGTGACGCCTGCAACAACTTGCCGGGCAATGCGCAATTTTTCCAATCGTTGCCAGACGCTAGCCACTGCAGAACTCACAGGATCACCGTGGGACTGCAAGACAAGACCCGGTAATGGGCCTCGAATGTTCTAGATTTATTTACTTGAGGGGTACAGCATGCTGCAGTCGTGACTGATGACCTCGATCTCGATCTTGTGCCAAGTCATCCATGTTCGAATAGAAAGTTATGCCTGCAGCACAATATGCGCCGTGTACTTATGCCGCAGATGCATCTATCATCACCACCTGAGGCGCAGGCTGCTGTGCGGCTTTGTGAAGAGAGGCATCACCTGTCGCTGGCATCACACAGTGCTGGCATGCAAGGCGTGCCAGCGGAGACTCGGGCGAGCCTCGCCGAGCGGACGAAGAAGAGTCTCCTCCTTGACCGACCTTGCCAGGCTCAGAATTCTGCCGCGGATGCGGTTGTGAACAACTCACTAGCAAAGATCCTGACAGCTGCTTGGACCTGCGAACACATTCCATGCAGACTTGCTTCATGGAACCGGAATTCGAAGCTGCCCGTCTGACTTTTAGTCAGTGCCGCAGTCTAGTCTGCAGGGCTCGGACTTTCTTTTGTCGTGGCTTCCGTGTTGGCTGCCTCGGATCAGCGTCATGGCACCAGTAGCTCAGTCGGCTGGAATTTCAGTGACTGCCCTTGCACGAAGCTGCATTCACCAAATCCTGGAATGTCCCCAACCAGACCGCGTAAACAAGAGCTCTTGCAAGTCTCATGCGCAAGGGCCAGATGGTGCAATGGATGTGTCAAAATTCAGGCCTTGTGCATCCTGTCTGCAGTGGAACTCGGTCTTATCGCCAGCCAGGCTTTCTGATCCCAGCTTGTGCCTGCGAGCACACCGCCAACCAGCCTTCTGGTGCTGACTTCAGGCGTCACGAGGGTGAACTGATGTTGGCCATGCAAGCATCATTGAGCAAAGGATCTGTACGAGAGTTCCGGAGAAGCAGTCTGAGGCACTGCAGCGCTCCCTTCCTGTCTTCCCAAAAAGGCCCACATGCATACCTACCTACCTACCCACCTATCTACCTACCTGCCTAGCCATGTTTACCAAGTTCCTATTTCAAGACAGCTACTTCATCATAGTGGGCTTGCTGCCTTTCTAGGGCAAGCTGCAAACACACAGATACTCCGGCGTTACAGGTACGTACATACATACATACATACATACATACATGTTAAAGGCTTCAGTGCAATCTCAAAAGCTCCCACTTTTGCACTCCACTCACATCGTCGGAAAAGCTCAGGCCACTTCACAGTTGTTGCCCTTTCGGCAAGTCGTCTGCTTTCTGTCAGACGACAGCTCTCAGGCCACAGTTACCCTTTCGGCAAGTCGTCTGCTTTCTGTCAGACGACAGCTCTCGGGAGGGAGGGCGGGAGTCATCAAGCTGCACACAGCCCATGAACATGAGAGGTCATGTTAAAGGCTTCAGTGCAATCTCAAAAGCTCCCACTTTTGCACTCCACTCACATCGTCGGAAAAGCGCAGGCCACTTAGGCCACAGTTGCCCTTTCGGCAAGTCGTCTGCTTTCTGTCAGACGACAGCTCTCCACTACTTAACACTTCGGCCAGCTGTAAGCGCGCCGCCGTTCAGCGCGATCGGCAGGTAAGCGGCGGAGCTCCGAACGCGTTCTCTGGCAGGGGCACTGAGGGCCGGCAGTATCGACAGTGCTGCGACCTCTTGGAGGTAATAGCCCAAGGTCTCCTGGTGCCGAAGGCGCATCCTCCACTGAACTTCGTTCAAGGCCTCGCCCGATCGATAGGCTCGAACCGCCCCGCCGCCTCGAAGCGACCCTGGTGTCAATCTGTGCTGTGGTTCCACCAGAGGGGCCCTGAGGAGCGCGTCCCAGCCCTGCGTCGTCGATACATGCCTGCCGAACCATCGTAGAGAGGCCGATCGCGGTGCAGAGGCTGGAAGGTGACTGAGATAAACTCCAGGATCCAAAGGGGAGCCTTCACCTGAGCGTGCTGGACTCGAGCGCCTCGCCTCCTAGTCTTTGGCTCCGGGATCCGCAGAAAAATCTCAGACCCTGTTTCCAGCAAGTCCTCCGACGTAACCAAGTGTTCCCTGCGAGCTCGCAGAGGTTCGCCGGGTCGGCAAATGGCGTAGAAGCCCGTCAGCGTGACAGCCGCCCATCTGCTCCAACCCCAGAGCACTGCCAACGTGCACATGGCATGGAGGACAGGCTCCGGAAGAGGAGGTCGATGCTGCAGCGGTTCCAACAGCTCCCACCTTGACACGAATTCCCAAGCTGTACGAACCCACGGCCTGCAACTCGGTACTTCTCGTTGCACGTGGGCCACCAGCTGCCTATAAATGCAACGGCGTGCCGGCATCGTAAAGATGCTGGGCAAACCCCGCAAACAGTCGTACCAGCAGCTGAGGGGCGAGGAGCACGTACTCGAAGGTGCCTTCACCGGCTCCGGCCTCGATCCACTTTGCAAAGGTGTCGTAGTAGCGAGCCCTCAAGGCGGCTGTGGCTGGCTCCACAAGGTCGACCTCAGCCAGTTGCCTAGCCGGCCGCTCCACGCGTCTTCTCGGTCCAGGGTTGTCTGCTTCGCCAAACCGAATTGAACCAGCGACCCACTTCCAGAACCGCTTCGGGCGCCCACACCCTTCACGGGTCCAGCTGGCACCACTGTCAGGCTGTCCCCGCACAGCTGTAGAAAAAGTCGAGCTCGAGGGCGAGACGTACACTCCCAGCAAACAGCCTTTGTTCAACAGCTCCTCCACGACTCCGTCCAGGCCTCGTTCGAAAAAGTCGCCAGCGCAGGGAAGCGAGAGGCACCATGGCACAAGACCCTTGGAAAGCAAAGCCCCTTCCAGCCCTGAACAACCCCAACCCAAAACCAGCCAACCCGGTCCTAAGCTG